CCAAACAAAACTGAGAGATGTTATACCCCCTTCTACCTTATTCATATTGATATTTAGGGTCCTAAAAAATTTCTAACATCTCACGGCCCAATGGTTTGTATCCTTCATTGATGACTACACTCGAGTCTCTTGAATATTTCTCCTAAAAAATAAATCCGATGTGAGCACTATCCTCCCAATTTTTCACACCATGATTCAAAATCAATTCGGAGTAAAAATAAGAAAAATTCATTTTGACAATGCCAAAGATTACTTTAACCAAACTCTATCCTCCTACTTTCAAAAGGAAGGTATCATTCATGAGTCTTCCTGCATTCATGCCCCACAACAAAATGGAGTTGTAGAAAGAAAAAATGGTCAGCTTTTTGCCTCCACTCATGCACTTCTATTCCACCACAATGTACCCAAATCATACTAGGGGGAAGCCCTTCTGACCGCCATATATCTCATAAATCGACTAACTTCAACAACTTCGGTTCTAAAAATACCAATGGATATTCTATATTCTTTTTACCATGAATTTCAAACCCATAACAACCTCACACCCAAAATCTCTTTTGGTGCACTGCCTATGTTTATATTCACAGTCAAAATAGAGAAAAATTAGATCCAAGAGCATTAAATGTATATTTATTGGAGATTCATTCACCTAGAAAGGTTACAAGTGTTATCGACCTTCTACCAAGAACACACTTATATCTGTTAGCGTTACTTTTGATGAGCAAAAACTTTATTTTACCAAACCTCATCTTCAGGGGGAGACTGATACTAAAGAAGTTGAGAAAAGTGAGCTTACTCCTCTTGACCTTTCAGCTCCACCTCAAACCAATCCAACTAAACTAGAAATCAAAGCTAGAAAAACTGAGGACAAAGTTATTATGAATAATAGGAGGTTTAGGAAACTGTATTCCAAACGTACAAATCCAAATTATGCTCTAGAGAAAATCCAAGAATCTAAATCGTCTCTAGAAATTGAGGCAAATGCACGTTTACCAAAAAAACCTCCGTTGTACCCCATAACAAACTTTGTATTCTTCCATAATTTCTCACATTCACACAAAAATTTTCTGGTTACACTAAATGATATTCATATTCTTAATAAAATTTTTGAAGCCTTATTTGATGAACATTAAAAAAGTGTCATGAAAGATGACCCTGTAAAAAAATAATATATGGGAGATCAAAGTTGTGAAAAAAATCAGTCGGTTGCAAATGTGTGTTCTATATGAAATACAAAATTGATGATACACTATAAATGTATAAGACAAGACTAGTGGCGAAAGGGTATACTGTGACGTATGATAATGACTACCAGAAAACTTTTGCACCTTTGGCCAAGATGAACACCGTGAGGATTCTGCTCTCACTAGCAGCTAATTATAACTATCATCTGGAACAACTGGACGTCAAAAATGCATTCCTACACAGGAACGTGGAGGAAGAAATATTTATGGAGATCCACTAGGATTCAATGAGAAATCTGGGGGTAATAAAGAGTGTAGGTTAAAAAAGGCTCTGTATAGGCTAAAACAGTCACTTAGAGCTGGTTTGGAAGATTCTCAAAAGTCATGCTACTTAATGTTTATTAGTAGAGCCAATGAGATCATACATTATTCTTCAAGCACTCAGGCTCAGAGGAAGTCACAATTTTATTAATTTATGTGGATGATATCATATAGACTGAGAATGATGAATTAGAGAAAGTGATTCTAAGAAATGTCTTGCAAAGGAATTTGAAATCAAAGATCTTTGCAGATTAAAATATTTTATTGGAATTGAAGTGACCCACTCCATCAAATGAATTTTGAATTTTCATTTTACAACAAAAATACATTAATTATTTTCTTAAAGAAATAGGTAAACTGGCACAAACACCAATAGAACTAAATCTCAAATCGGGGAAAGCTAAAGAAGATTCAAATATAGATAAAGGAGTTTACCAGAGACTTGTGGAAAAATTGACTTGTGGAAAAATTGATCAACCTTTCACACAATAGACTGGATATAATATTTTCTATGCACATGGTCAGCCAATTCATGAAAATTCAAAGCAGACTCACATGCAAGCTGTAGACAGAATATTACACTATCGTAAAGGGATTCTCTTCAGAAGAGACAGTGGAATAACCCCACAAGCATATACCGATGCAGATTACGTAGGATCACCAGTAGATAGACGGCCTACCTCAGGATACCGCATATTCTTGGAGAAAGTCTTATTACATGAAGAAACAAGAAATAAAATGTGGTGTTATGCTCTAGTGCAAAAGCAGAATACAAAACTATGGCCTTATGAACATGTGAGCTATTATGGATCAAGATAATTCTAGAAAGCCTAAGGATCTAGAAGCTACACTGTGACAACAAATCAACATTCAACATAGCTCACAATTCGGTTCAACATGACAGGATCAAGCACATAATAGTGGGCATACATTTCATAAAGGAGAAATTAGATAGTGGTCTTATATGTATCGACCATTTCTCATCAAAAGATCAGCTTGCAAATATTCTTACCAAGGGACTTGATAACTCTACCTTTTTGGGACTGATTACCAAGCTGGGGATGATGGATTTGTATTCCCCAGCTTGAGGAGTTTTAAATTCCTGCCATCCCTAGACATTTTGATCCCACGGCTTGGAATTCGTGGGAGATTCATCTATTAAATCCTAGCTGTCTCTTGGCATTTTGATCCCACGGCTAGGATGAAAATTCGTGGGAGGCTCACCTGGATCATGCTGATCACCTTCCATATTTTGGTGTATGATTTAAAAAGGATTATATTAGAGCAATTATGCATGATTATGTATTAGGAAGGATTATATTAGAGCAATTATGCATGATTATGTAATTATTTGGTTCTTTATTAAGATATCTTGTATAGATATATAAATAATGACAAGTTTGTGCAATAAAATTAAGCCTTTTCCTTGTCCAATTCTCTGAATTGAACATATCTGATGGATGACAATGGTCCAAAGAGCTACAAAACAAATTTTTTATATCTAGAATCCTCTCTCTAGCTGGCAGCTCAAATGAGATAAAATGATTTTGGATATTTTCAATTTAGTGGATTTTGATTTTTGTATAAAATGTTTTCACAATGATGTGGTGCTCGAATTGCGCCGCTGCATTCTCATGGAATGCCCTAATCTAATCCAGAATATAGAGAGCTCAATGTCACAGTGCCTAGGAGCAGCGTCACAACGTTCCCAATGAACCATAATACAGAGAGCTTAGTGCCATAGCACCTAGATCACAATGCCGCATTGCTCCCAAGGGATTTTTCTACATAGACTTCAATTTAAACGCTGAATCCTTGGTGACTTATTTAAGCAGGAAAAATTCTCAACAATTTATATAAATTAAAAAAATGCAAATTAAATACATCAGTTTTACTAGTTTTCAACTCCGTTCATCATAGGTGTTGTAATTTCTACAGAATAGTCCTTACAGTATGATTATATTTATTTCTGATGAAAACAAAAAAGAAATTCTTCTTTGGTGTGAAATACATCGCCTTGTGCTAAGTGTGAATTTTTAAGGAGAACAATCATGCCTTACTAATTCATTTCGCTATTCATGTAGTGTATCTTCTCATTTGTTCAAATTTATTTTCTTTTACTTATTGGTTTTGTTTGAGTGATTGTACAAATTTAAGAGTCTCTCTCTCTCTCTCTCTCTCTCCTCTTTTTATCTATCATCCTTTTCTCTACATATCAAGCTATCATCTTCCTTGGAAGGCACTAAGAGGCCTCCACATTGTGTAATTAAATCACATCATTGAGGCATACATGAATGTCACAAATATGTTGAAAATATTAAAAATATGTCTAATGTAGAGTTGATTGGTTTTAAAAGTAGTTGTGATGTGATTGAAGAGTTCTAGATTATAATAGGATTACACCAAGAATTAACATTGAGTCCAATTCTTTTTGAATTGACCATGAAGATGCTTATAATTATATTCAAAGCGGCGTACTTTGACCTATACTTTTATAGGTGACAGTTTTGATTGATATTTAACCACTAAAATAAGTGAAATTTTAGAACAATGGAGAAGATAGTTAGAAGATGGAGGCATTATAGTTACTAGAATTAATATTAAGTATATGATATATAATTTTAATATGCATATATTAACAATCATCAATCAATATTATTAAAGATATGCTGGTCCTTGGGTGTGATAGATTTGAGTATCTTGGATCTACTATATCTAATAATGAGAATATAATCGAGGATATAATTTATAGAGTTAAGGCTAGGTGGTTTAAATGGAGAACTCTCTTAGAAAGTTAGAAGTATTATGTGTTAAGAGGGTATCATTGAGACTTGAAGGTTTATTTTAAAAATTGGGATTAGGTCGATATTGTTGTTAGGATCCAATTGTTTGGTTAAAAAAAAGTCATTGATAAATAAGTCAGCTGTGGCAAAATAAGAATATTAAGATTGATGTGTGGCAAAAGTAGTAAAAATAGATTAAGAAAATATTATATTAGAGGGATGGTTGTAGTGGTATCTAATAAATATAAAGTATTTTAAAATAGACTTAGATTGTTTAGTTATGTACACTGATAAAACAAAATTTTACTCATTTAAAAAGTAGATAAATTTAGTTTTAGAAGATTAGGAAGAATTGATACATTTAAGATAATATGAATAAAAATTGTTTAAAATAATCTACGAAACATAAATTTAGCATTTTAGGCATCAGGGCGGAATAGAAAATGAAAATTTTTAAAGCCAACCCTAAACGTAATGGTGAATCGGTGATCATGATTTGCTACAGATGTTTTGTTTTTTGGTTGGATAACTAGTTTTCGTCTGTTTTTGGTAACCACATTCCCAGTTCTGTAAGATCTCAAAGACATGATATCTTCAACTGCGTACCTCTGGAGATACCATTTTATTTTATTCAAAGAGGCTTACTATCTGAATATTCATGACTCCATTTGTGTTTCTTATTCTAAGCTGCCAATTTTTTTTCTTAATTTAGGTTCACTATTATGTGCAATCACATATTCAGATCAATGAATACCGAGATCGTATCGTTTTGGTGAGTATTACTTTGTTTTTATTTCTGAAGTTGGTCCAAAGACTTTGACCATCTCTATATCTTGATGTCCAAACTCTTGCAGCCTGCTGCAGCGAAAAAGCATGGGAGGCATATTGGAACTTGCATAAAAATTTTGGATATGACTGGTCTAAAGCTTTCAGCTTTGAGCCAAATTAAGGTTTTGAAATTCTTGGCCGTTGCATATTATATTATACATCTGCAACGTTTGTCTAATTTTTCTTCTTTTGAATTGTAATGTAGTTAATGACCATCATTTCTACTGTTGATGACCTGAACTACCCGGAGAAGACAGATACGTATTACATCGTTAATGCTCCCTATGTTTTTTCATCTTGCTGGAAGGTAATTGGCAATTGTTCTCTATCACGGGTGTATGAAATCCTTTGAATTTATTACTAAGCTCAAATAATCAACTTTGAGAAGTAGTTTCCGAACCTTTATTTATCACTAGCATTACGATGATGATAATTTTTTACAAATTTTTGGCAGGTTGTAAAACCTCTTTTGCAAGAACGGACAAGAAAAAAAGTACAAGTACTGCATGGCTGTGGAAGAGATGAGTTATTGAAGGTATGGAATTGAAGCATTGTCCTGATATAAAAATTGTGTATTTACGTACTTCATCCAAAAATTTTAATCTGTATTAAAAACCTGTTTTAAGAAGCAGTAAAAAAACCGTCCCAAATTAAGCCTTAATAACCAAATTCAGTATTTTTTTGTAAGGATAGCTTAAAAAAATATCTCGAATTTTTAGTTAGGATGGATCTCAAAGTCATTTGATATTCTTTGAGATGAGTGCATCACACGAAGAATCAATCAATTTTTATATTACATTCATTTCAAAATAAATCCAACGGCTATGACATCCATCATAAATAAAAATTTAGTCCTAATATATTGAGCCAAATTTTTAATGTTTTTTTTTCTCTTTTCATATATATATAGATTATGGATTACTCTTCCCTCCCACATTTCTGTCGAAGAGAAGGCTCAGGCTCATCGCGATACTCTTCGTCGCCCGGTTCTGACAATTGCTTCTCCTTGGACCATCCCTTCCACCAACAGCTATACAATTACATCAAGCAGCAGGCGCGCGGCCATATCCCTCCCCAACCCACAAAACAGGGCTCCTTCCATGTAAGTCTTCCAGACCCAGACCCTGAAGGAGTTAAGATTGCAGAAACCATAGAATCCGAGTTAATCAAATATGAGGACCAGAAAACAACTGAGAATACTAGTAAGCTCTCTCATCCCATGAATAGCCTCAAAATTTATAGTGAATAATGATTGAAATATTCATGGTAATTGGCTCTCTTACCTTAGAAAAAATATATCAAATTATGTTTTTATTACTTTTATATCCTTAACTCCAGCAATATGATGAGCAAGAAGCTTAAAAATATGATTTATCACATTACTGGGTAGCTGAGAATTTGTGAGAGAGAATTTGAGGCTCTCAATAGTCTCAGCTGATAGACTTACTAGGCGATGTAAAGGATTTTCATATCATTGTAATTCTAGTATCACATGATATAATGTAAGCACCTGTAATATTATAATTAAAGTAATATTAATCCTAAGCTTTTCATTAAGCTTGTTCCACCTTTCTTTTGCCAATTTTGAATATTTTGATAATGTTGGATTGCCGGACCTTAACGTGCATGATGATTTTTTTTTGCTTGATTTTGTAATAGAAAGGGAGTTTATAAAGAGTAAAACTTTCTTCAAGAATTTAGAATGTCAGTATTCAATTGCTCTTAGAGGGCTTATTTGGTTGCTTGAAGATTGAAAATATGTTTTAGAAAGTGTTGATTTTGTTTTCATTTAAGTTGGAGTGTGGAAATGAATATATGTTGAGAATGAAATTATGGGGTAGATTTGGAAAATAAAAAATATATTACTTTTAATATACAGCCAAACGGATTTATATACAAAAAAGAGTTTACCAAGCCATAGCAGCATAAAAAACAAACAAAAATGACAACTTCAGAGACAGGGAACGAAGAAGAATATATCATCAAGCCTATCATTTGTAGGGGAGTTACCTCCGTAAACAAAGAGTCCTTTCTCACCATCAATCTCCGCACCAGAGAATGCGCACCACCCACGCGGTCCCGGACTTTCGCCGCCGCCGCCGACGGAAACCTTAATCCAACCACAGGTCTCAGTATCAAGTCCATAAACCTCCCCAGCAAACCTGCCAGCACCAAGATGCCCCAAGTCACTTGGATCAATCTCTCCGCCATAAATAAAAACATACTTCCCAATACCAACGCTCGAAAACACGCTCCTCGGGCTCGGCTTTTCGCCGCCGCCGCCGGTGGTATCGACGACCGACCATTCCTTGCTCGCAAGATCAAATGCGTGCACATCATCAAGCTCCGCGCCTGAGAATCCATACACAACCCATACCTTCCCTGCTGATACAGCCAGCCCTGAACCGCCTCGCGGCCGGCATTCCTCCCCAGGCGATGGGAACTGTATCCATTCGTGATCAGTAGCATCGTACGCCCATAAATCATTAAGCCGGCCGGCATTTCCGCATCCACCAAAGACGTAAATGCGACGGTCATCCGCCGCCATGGAATGGTAGCTGCGGTGGGGAGGACCTGTTTCATCCGACGAGAGCAGAAACCACTCGTTGGTGCGGGTGTCGAATGAGAAGAGCTCGTTGAGCTCCTTGTGATCGGCATCGCGGCCGCCGAAGAAGTAGATAATGTCGCCAATGGCGGCCATTGTGACGCCTACTCGAGGCGGCGGAATGTCTCCGACGACCTTAGGGCTGGACCAGACACGGTGGTCGAGGTCAAATACATGGAGCTTGTTATCGACTGGGACGCGAGGTGTGAACTCGCCCCCGAAGACATAAGCTTTCTTCCCAACTGCAGCAACAGCGTGAGAGCTTCTTGCGCCGGGTACGCTTCCTTTCTGCTCTAGCTGTTCAAGAAATAGACGAGATAGAGATCCAACTTATCTTAAAATCATTAATGGTCAAGTATGGAAAATGAGTTATCTCCCATTTTCTACAATAGCCGTTACAGTGTTTCAAGTCAATAGAGAACAAGCAGCTTGTTGGGAGGTACGTCCATTAAAACCTTAAAAGCCGTGAACTCTTAACTTGAGAAGCACGCAAGGTATTGCTTGACCTAAAGGTATTTGGTAATTTAGTGCAATTAACATATGATGAGTTGTGAAAAGCTTAATGATAGAAGCTACTTTTAAACAGCTATTTGATACTCATTTATGTTGGGATTTACATGAAATTTAGGAGCTGTTTGGTAGCTCATAAGATTTGATTTAAATAGGATCTCGTAAATACTCTAAATCCGGATTTTGGAAATCCTAAGGGGTCTAAATCCTGATAATTGTTTGGTAATATTCATGATAAATCCTATTGAATCCCTTGTGACTATTTGGCTATAGAGCAGATTTAACGAGCGGACTCTTCTTCTCGAGCCAATGAATTTTGTAAATCCGGGAAAAAAAAAGATTTCGGAAATCCGGGATTTAGCACGAAAGGCTGAATTTTTCGTCTATGGCGGCTTTCATTTTCCGTCAGATTTGGTTTTGTATTTTAGGCCATTTGCGCTCAAATCCGGTCTAAATCCTGCCACCAAACAGCCCCTTAAGATGAATGCAGGCAAAGAGATTTAGGGGTTCTTTCAAATCTTGGATTCCATAAATTCAGGGATTTTAAGACAAGAGAAATTAACTAATTTTATAATTATTTTGGTTTCTTAGATTTAGTTTATCTCTTAATAGATGAATTATGTATACAATAGAATAATTAAACCAAAGTCAAAACAGCTTATTAGTCTATTTAATTATTTTTAAATCAAATCAGTACTTTTAAGATAGAACAAACAGTTTTAGGATTTAACTCAGATTAAGGGCATGTTTGGTTCAAATTAGAACTTAGCAAATCCAAAATTGATAGAATGTCAGAATCTATTAAAGGTAGAACTATTTGATTGCCTAATTCTTTAATCCAAAACCAAATCTGTGGAGACTGTTTCTGTTTGGTTGCTGATTTGGAAGATTTGGGAACTCGGAGAGATTTACTAAACCCTAATTGAAGTAAATCTCTTGAATCCCAGCACTAACAGGACTTGATAAATCCTAAATCTAGGGTTTATTCAAAACCCTTCTGAAATCCTGCTTCAAATATCCAACCAAACAGCCCCTCGTCAAGTTTTAGGGATTTAGCATTCTCAAGATTTACTGAATCCGAATCTGCTAATCCAACTCGCAATACAAAAAAAAAACCCTTAAAATTTCCTTGAAAAAGAATCCAAGAAAAAATAACTGAAGAAATGGAAAGAGAACGAGGAGTATGGTAAGATCATGCGGAAGAACAGAAGGGATTTGTTCTTCCCAGGGATTCGAATCAAATGAGGGGAGAAGAAGAGAAGCAGAGAGACGAGAGGAAGAGTACCTTCACCCATTTTCCTTCCATTGCTCACAATCGTCAGAAATCGTCAGAAATGGCGCTCGACAGTTCGGCTCCTCTGGATTATTAAATTACTTGCAGAAAATTATCTCATCGTTTTTTAATTACAATAATGCCACTATTATTTAGAGATGGGTGTGTGGGCCCCTAAGTCGTACGTTCTTATTTTGTTTTGTTTTATTTTATTTATTTTAAATTATGCTGATTGCTAAGTTTACGGTCTTAAAATAAAGTGAATTATTAGAGAATGAATTGAAAAAAAAAAAATTTTGATGTATAATAAATTTTGAAAATACAAAAGGCTTTAAAGTTTATTTTTTTAATTACTATAAGTTTAAAACATAATATAATATGTTTAAAAGGAATTTTTTATTTTTTGGAAGAATATAATTCATAAATTAGATCCCTTATTTAATTTTTAAAATTGATATGATTTCATATTAGAATTTAATAAATAGATTTTAGTAATATCAAAATTTTATTAAATATAATAACAGTCTTAGAATTTGAAGAAAAATCTAATAATATCAAGATCTTGAATCCGTCATTTTTTTTTTTTTTTTATAAAAATCAAAACCTGAGAGAAAATTCAGGTTTCCAGGTCTTCGGAGAAAGGTGTTGGAGGTGGGAACATAAGGCTTCACATTCAGGTGAAGAACTATTGGCTGAGAAACGTGGCGAGCTTTCTCTAAAGAGGCTTAGTAATAAATTAGGAAATAAATCCTAATTATCATTACAGGGGCCGGTGGTTTTCCAAAGCCAGCAAGGAGGTTTAATTAATTCCTAATTCCTTTAATTGGATTAGGGAGCAATTTAAGGATTAAAGTTAAGAGGAATTCGGTCAGGTAAGGTTTCAAATTGTTTCCAAAGAGGTGGAGAGTGATTTAGGAAACAATTTGATTAATCCAGGAATTGATTTCAGACCTCACGGGATTGAGAGGGAAGTGGGGAATTTAATTTCCAAAGTCCAACCAAATTTTAGGGAAGAAATTAAGAGGTGGGGCTTGAGGAAAATTCGGCCAAGCAAGAGGATATTAAGGCTCATTGATTTGCATTTAGGAATTAATGAGGTGATTTAATGTTCTCAGATTTTGAATTTAAAATTAAAATAAATTTTGTGAATTTAAAATTCAAAATAGATCTAAGTCGAATACTTTCCTAAAATAGATTCACTAATTTTAGGAAAGATTTCTAAATTCAAAATGTTTTGAATTTTAAATGAGGGATTTGTGGAGGCATGAATTCAAAAAGTTTCCTAAAATAGGGTTAGGGAGTTTAGGAAGGCTTATTTGAATTTCAAATCAATTGAGTTTGAATTTCAAACTATTTCCAAATTCATTCAAGCCTAAATTAGGAAACTTCAATGGGATGATGAAGGGAGGTGGCCGGCGGGTTGTGAAGAGGTGGCCGGCGTGATTTTGAAGAGGTGGCCGGTGGCTTGGGTGGAGGATGGGGATGTCGACAACGAGAAAAATGAAAAGATAACGAAAAAGAATAAAAAAAAATTAAATAAAACCACGAACCCGGCCGTCTCCAAGGTTGGTTGGTGATACGATTTCCCTCTCCAAGGGATCTCAAATCACGTGCCCGGACCCATCCTGCGGCTGGTGAAGATTTCGATTCCTCCCATAGGAATCTCACAAACGCTTTCTTACAAGAAGAACACAAGTGTGAGACCTCGTTCCTTTGCTGTTGCTGTAGCTGCTGGGAAAAGTGATATTTTTCCCAGGATCGTCCAGGCCGATTGGAGATCGTCCAGGCCGATCTGCACTGTAGAAAATATCGTCCTGAGAATAGTTCTGGGAGTCGTCCAGGACGATCAATTTTGGTCTGATCGTCCCGGGACGATGTGACGATCGGCCGGGCCGATCCCACTAATGATATAAGAAAATGAGCTCGTTTTGAGGAGAGAGAAAACATTTTTACTGGATGTGTGTATTGATACGAATAACGGATGGAGAAAAAAGAAAAAGAAAATGAATGATCGATCAGATGAATCCTTTCACTACACGGATCTTGGGTCGTTATAACAAGTGTGGAAAAACAGAAAAATTTCATATTCATTCTCCCTCTCTTACAATAGCTTAAGACCCTTATTTATAGGCCATAACATGAGAAAAAATAGAAAATTACAAAAATGCCCCTTGGGCCAAAAAATAAAGAGGAGGTACAAACTTAAAAGATCATCAACATATTCAAATATTTTTCCTTCACATTTCACCAATCAACATGAGCATACCATACTCATATATTTATTGAAGGAAATTCAGCAAGTTCTACATACTAAAAATAACAACCATCCTCGCAAAAGAGAAATACAAAAAATTATGTATATGATTAAAGATAATATCTGCCACCAATATTAATGTTGTTAATAATTAAGAATTGATAATTTTGGCCACATTTTACAAAAATATATGCCTTCAAATCATTATTAAAAATAAAAGGCAAGAACATGAACTATAGTTTTTTCATGGCCAATTCAAACACCATGAAAGGTTCTCATAAAAAAGTAAAGCTAATCTACCCTCATTTTTACTAAGCTAATAAGGGTTTTAAAAATCAGATCGGACCAGCTGGTCTTACTGGTTCAACCGTGAACCGATCTAAAAGCCGAGTTTAGCCTGAAAATCGATTTTGTTTTAAACCAGGATGAGCCGATTAGAACAGTCAAGTCAACCAGCGCGAACCAATGAAGCAATCTTGGTTCGCTTGAATTGACCGATTCAAATTTTGAAATATTTAAATAATTAAATTAATACATTAATAATAAAAAAATTAAATCTATATTGCAATTAAATATCGCTTGTGGATCTTCAAATATATCATCCTGGTATTCGTACTTGTTGCGGGCTAGAATATACGCGGCGGTAGAGTACTAAAACTTTAAATGAATATTTGTAGTTAATTGCATCTTCAACAGAGCCCTACATGTTGGGTACCCATGCTCTGCGCTGACAGTTTTTTCCCACCCACGCCCACCTATGATGACTTACGGAATGTCATACTCACCCACACCCATCCACTTTCCACGCTTCTTGAATGCAATCTGCCACGAATTAATGGCCTTGAGATTTTTTGTCATTTTCTCTGACTGAAAACTTTCAAGCCACATATATATAAAAATCTGTCGTGGTCGCTACATGGTTTAGTGTTGTACACTGCGTTGTAAGGATTACTGTAATAAATTGCATGCATATGATGATTAGTAATGTAAATCAATTTGTCCTCTAATATTAAGTAACTGCTCATACCCACCCACGAGGTCATAGGCGTGCCCATACCCACCCATGCCCATTGGATATATATGGATACATGATTGGGTATGAGTATGAGTACCCAATGCAGCGCTATAACCTTCAAGGAAATAACACGGTCCATGTTTATCTATCAGAACAAATTCCCCGCTCTTCTTCCTTCATAGTTATCTTCTTCTTCCTATCAATGCATCCCTATGTGAAATGGCGCCCTTCTTAGATTGTTATATAAAATTTCATGTTTCTTCTCATTGTCGGTGCTCGTCAAACCCATCAAACATCCCCTTCTTTTTAATCTCTCCAAATTTTTTTGGACTTTTGCTTTGCTCGTCTTTCGCTGTCGTTCGTGTTTTGCTCGCCGAAACAGTCTCCCGCGCTTTTTCCTCTCGTCGAACGCAGCAATCTTCGCCGAAGCCCCACGAGTTCGCCTCTTTTTAAATTCCTAGGGTTTCAATTCGCCAATCTCTCTGTCTTCTTTATCCCACGGCCGCCTACTTCTATTTTATATTTCTCATCTTCTTCTTCGTCATTGCCGTTTGCTTTTGGATTCGACATTCACCACTGTTTCTCCAATTGAGGTAAACAGAGTCATCTTTGTCAATAAATGATTTTTCGATCCACTTCTTCTTTTGGACAGATTTTCTTTGTCGGAATCAACTTTGTGAATAAATGATTTTTTATTCAACTTTGTCATATAATAAAGTTGATTCCGCTCACCTCTCCGATTGAGGAAAACTTCCTCATTTCTTCGTCATTCACCACATCTTCTTCTTCGATGCCATGGAACCTTCCGGTCGGCTGGCCAGAGAAGGGAACGGCATCAAGCCAGTTTTGCGGCGATGCATATCGTATATTTCTTATATATACGAGAGGTAAACAGAAAGTTCTGTGCAAAGGCGTTTGGTTGCTCTAAACTACCAAACAAATCTGATGGAAATGAGAAAGTTGATAAACGTGGAAGCAAAACTAACTACGACAGGTAAACCGAAAGTATTGTGCGAGTGGAATAAGGTGTTTGAGAAGAATTTTTAATCTCTGGGTTAAAAAATTTAGTGTTTGTCAATAAATGAGGAAGCTTTGATATTATTGAAAATTTTGTATGTGCATTTTGGCTAATAGGCAATTGGAGAAGTGATAACGAAAACAAAAATAGATTGTGCTTTTGTTTTGGACAGATTTCCTTAAAGTTTTCTATGGTTGTTTTTTAGTATAAATTTTTTCTTCCCCTTTTAAGCCCTAAATTCCTATTTCAACATTTTCTAGGGTTTGCAATTTAGTAATATCTCTGTTTCCTTTCTCCTATGGCTGCATGATTTTTTTTTACATACCTCAATTTATTCTCTGTCATTGTCGTTTTGTCCCCGGAGGAGAAACAACGGTTCTCCCATTGATTTTATCATTGGTCCAATTCGATGTTTGAGCGGTTGGGCATAGAAGGGAATGACATCTATCTACTTCAAAATTTTGATATCTTAATAATAGTAGCTTCTTATCTTGTTGGATAGTTGTATGCTTTTCTTCCTTTCAATTTCTTCTACTTACAATATTTTTCTCCTCTCTACGTTGTTCCTCTGTATGTTTTTCCTCCTCTAGCAAAGGTGGATTTTCTTGAATTTTTCAGATTTATTCTTCATACAAGGTATATACCAAAACGAAAAAAAATGAAAACATTGGCTGAATTGAAATTTCAAAATTTTCAACACTTAGACAATCGAGATAATATTTTATGTTTATGTATTCTTGTTATTTCATTGTGCTATTTTTTATTAATGTATTCATATTTCTCATTTGCACTTTGGGTACTTAATATCTTATGGTGCAGCAACCCCTGTCCATCGTATCCAA